CCGTCACTTTTTTTGCGAATATGTTCGTGACATGGTGGGATTGTGGGTGACTTCACATAACTGGAACTGAGAGATTTCTTACAAAGATATGGTCATGTTCAACGCCTACAAGACCCAGCTTGAACGAAACCCCTTCTCGTTTCCACATGAATCTAGGACTCCCTCTGACCAATCAACTTACTTCAGCTCCCTTGTTGCAACGAAGTTTCCATCAGCTTCTCGTACGGATGAATAATTGTCATTTGTAGAAATGCCTCCAGAGGCACCGTGAACATTTGAAATCTCCGACCATGATTGGAAATGCTTCGGGTTACTTCTACGGATGGGCCAGACAACAGACAACATATTGACACATTTCACCCTACATCTTGGGCCACTTGCTGCGGGCAGAAAACAGAAAATGCGCACCCATGGCAAAAAACATGTTCCTCAAGACTTGCTGCTTCAGCGCCATCGCAAACATCTGCCGAACCCGCTCAACAGAAAGGGTGGCCGAACGGAGGAAGAGGAACTATTTACAATGTATGGCAACCACAGCAGCAACAGCAAACACGGCGACGACAACGACGACGAGGAGACAGCAGCTTGCTTTGCTTTCTGTAATAAGTTTGTCGTTTTCCTAGCAATCCACAAGATGCCTAACACACTTGTGCAAAAAGCGATGTTTGTTTAAAGAAAGTGCTCTTGGGTTAGTCAGACACATCCTCAGCTCGACCAAGGCCCATGGTTTTTCTATTTTTCCCAAAACAGTGTCGGCACACTATGTGGTTCTTGCGGTAAACACCGTTTTTGGAGCTATGCAACCTTGGTGTGGACGGGGCAAAACTTTTGGCAGGTGACTTCGTTTTGAGTGGCAGGCGGTGACTTCGACACTTTTTCATTCACGTGGCAGGCGCATTATATCGCGCACGTTGCTAAAAGGTTGGCGGCGTGTGTCAAAATGAGAGGTGCCGCTGGAAGTCATTTTGTGTGGCAGCATGCGCAGCATTTGGTCAACTGTTTAAGGTTCATTTTGTGAGGTCGCTGTCGTTTCTAGATTCGGTGCATGGTGATCATTTCAGGCGGAATTTTCACAGCACGCGGAATACTTGCAGAGAACCCCGATGAGAAAGGTGTCAATATTGTCAAAAATTTGGCCATGACATTTTACAACTTTCATCTTTCGCGGTCACCCCATCCTCTCCGCACTGATTATTTGCGCGCATTTCATCATTGCAGCACGGTCCTCATGTTGATATGTCTTGCGCAGCCCTCTCTGCACTTTCTGCGCCTGGGATCGCTCTCATTGAGCCCCGGTGCGATATCTTTCAAGAAACCCTCCGAACATTGCGCGCGTTGGATCCCTGTCGTCGTGCGGTGCTCACTTTCATGTCTCTGTACTTTGTGCGCTTTGGGTCGAGATCGTTGTGGCGACGTGTTGATTGTGACGTCTGTTACACAACACCCCTCCTCACCCTGTGCATGCGATTGCGTGCGTGTGTATATGTCGGATCGCTCTCAGTGCTGATTGCAACATCTGTCGCGCAAGATGCTCTTAGAGGCCTGTGCTTCATGATATTGCAGAGGCTATTGTAAGAAACATCTTGTGGAGATCCTAGTGAAGTCCTCCAAGTGGTCCTTGTATGAAGAAGATCTTGAAGATATCATGTAAAGTAAGAGGTGCTTGTATGGAAGGTCTTGTGGGATACTCTTAGAGATTCTTGTATCAAGATCTTGCGAGGTCCTCTGATAGGTCCTTGAAACCGATCACAATGGAGCAGATTGGCCCCTAAAAACTCGACACACATTAGCAAAAAACATGCCCGTTCTTCAGAAGGATTCTCATTGATCAATTTCTCAACAGTTAGTAGCGGCCTTGTCCTCTTCCCCAAAAGTTAATTATGTTAATTGTTTTTGCTGGCTTTGTCACCGCTGATGCTCTTGGCTTCCCACATTGGAAGGGGTCTGTATAACTTATACATTATGCGTTGAGTTGCCCGTGTTTGGCTTGAGACTAGGCGGCGGTCGGGAGCGGGGGGTGCACGGCAAGGTGCTAAAATTTCAGAAACAGACGCTCAAATTTTGGAAATAGGACCGCGAAGCGTTTTATTGAAGAAAACCAGTCGGGACGCAATCGGGACGCAGTCGGGCACCAACTTTGCATTTTTGGGCACCACTTTTGGGCAGTCGGGATCCAGTCGGGATCCAGTCGGGATCCAGTCGGGCACCAATTTTCGAGTTTTTGGCACCGTGTTTGGACCTGTCGGGAAGCAGCTAAAATCACCCAAAAACGTGCCAAAACCTTCAAAAAATGCTGTTTTATGAATTTGGCTGCCTCCTGACATTGGTGCCCAACTAGATCCCGACTGGATCCCGCCTGGATCCCGACTTGCCAAAAGTGGTACGCAAAAATGCAAAATTGGTGCCCAACTGCGTTTTGATTGGTTCCAACTGCATCCATGGATCGGCAAGAACCCGCCCAGACCCACCCTTGCCCCTATTTAAGGGGCTGACGCCCAACAGCGGGCCAGCAGGCCAAAGGTGCAGGGTGGGGTGGTGGCAGAGTCGTGGTTGCCGCTGCTGCTGCTGGCTGCTGCTCCTGCTGCTGCTGCTGCTGGTGGTGCTGTTGTCATTGTAACTGCTGCTGGTGGTGCTGTT